CAGATACCAGACACCAGATACCAGATACCAGATACCAGACACCAGATACCAGACACAGAACCAGACAGATACCAGATACCAAACATCAGATACCATACCAGATACCAGATACCAGATACCAGACACCAGATACCAGATACCAGACACCAGATACCAGACCAGACACCAGACACCAGAAACGAGATACGAGATCCAGATACCAGATACCAGACACCAGATACCAGATACCAAACACCAGATACGAGATACCAGATACCAGATACCAGATACCAGCCCCAGATACCAGACACCAGATACCAGACACCAGATGCCAGACACCAGATACCAGATACCAGATACCAGACACCAGACACCAGAACCAGACATCAGATACCAGACACCAGATACCAGATACCAAACACCAGATACAGATACCTGATACCAGATACCAGACACCAGATACCAGATACCAGATACCAGATACCAGACACCAGATACCAGATACCAGACACCAGACACCAGAACGAGATACGAGATTCCAGATACCAGATACCAGACACCAGATACCAGATACCAACACCAGATACGAGATACCAGATACCAGATACCAGCCACCAGATACCAGACACAGATACCAGACACCAGATGCCAGACACCAGATACCAGATACCAGATACCAGATACCAGACACCAGATACCAGACACCAGATACCAGACACCAGATACCAGACAAACCAGAAACCAGATACCAGATAAGAGATACAGATACCAGATACCAGACACCAGACACCAGACACCAGACACCAGATACCAGACACCAGAAACCAGATACCAGATACGAGATACCAGATACCAGATACCAGACACCAGACACCAGACACCAGACACCAGAACCAGATACCAGATACCAGAACACCAGACACCAGATACCAGATACCAGACCACAGATACCAGACACCAGAACCAGATACCAGATACCAGAGATACCAGATACCATAACCAGACACCAGATACCAAACACCAGATACGAGATACCAGATACCAGCCCCAGATACCAGACACCAGATACCAGACACCAGAAACCAGATACCAGATAAAGAGATAACAGATACCAAATACCAGATACCAGACACCAGATACCAGAACCAGACCAGATACCAGACACCAGATACCAGACACCAGATACCAGACACCAGATACCAGACATCAGATACCAGACACCAGATACCAGATACCAAACATCAGATACCTGATACCAGATACCAGATACCAGATACGAGATACCAAATACCAGACACCAGATACCAGACACCAGATACCAGACACCAGATACCAGATACAGACACCAGAACCAGATACCAGATAAAGAGATAACAGATACCAATACCAGATACCAGATACCAGATACCAGACACCAGATACCAGATCCAGATACCAGATCAAAGATGCCAAAGGATAAAAATGATTAGAGATAGTTATCGCTAGCATTGCATTAGCATACCAGCAACTGCGCTACGTGAGGTTTTAAATAAACATCAACGTACAATATTTGGCATAGCGTTAGCATGCCAGAAACTGCGCTAGTCGACTATATTAAGCGGTGATCGATTGTTTTAAGGAAGGTCACGTGACGTTAGAAGGCGGGACGTCGACGCGGTTTTTTCGGGTTTTTTCCGGTTCGACGTTCGGAGGAAAGAGGTACCGTTTCGGAAAGTAGAAACTCGGCGCTTTACGGCGGGCGAGAGCCGTCGCGGCGAGAGGAACGGATCGGATCGAAAACGGCCGGTAAAGTCGAAAAATCGACCGTTTTCCGGACGGTACGCGGCGTTATTTCACACTCGTTTCGCCGTTTATCGAAATATCGACTCGAGATCGGTCTCGTTCGATAGCTAAACGAAATACGTGCCAATAAGCTAAATCTGTTCGGTTCCGCGTCTCGGTTTTTTTCTAGAAATGTTCGAAAAAAAAGCGACAAAAATGACGAATCGCCTTGAAAACTACGATATCTCCCTTATGCCGAAGAGAAAAGGAATTTCGCGTGCCGCGTTTCGTACATCTCGGCGAGCGCTACAAATTACGCGGAGAGACGTTTTTTCGTTTACGGTACCCGTTTCGAATAAACGAACCTCGAACGTCGTCAAGAATGACTTTTTTGCGTATAAAGCGCGCTGCTTCGCCGTATATCAGCTATCTCCTCCGAAGATAAAGGAGCTACGAACCTGACGATTTTGCGTGAGAAAGCCATGCTTCGGACACTCTTTAATACTATTTCATCATTATTATTCGTTTACGTTGAAAAGTTTCGATTTTTTAAAAATTCCTCGACAACACGCTACTTTTCGACGCGTGAAAAAGTCACCTTGTCATCCGGCTCTGTCCTCGCTTATACTACCGTACGTGAGCGAGTAAAAATTATACAGCTATCGAAAAATAACGATAATGAGCTGACGAAACGATTCTGACCGTTAGAATTACCGTCAAATTGAGAAAGTAAACTTTGAGCGCCTCAAAAGTACCGATGACAACCGTTTTTCGGCGTACTTTGTCTTCGTCGATACGCACCTGCGTTACGGAGCGACGTAGCTACGTTTTTTTTCGCAAAACGAAAGACCAAAGTCTCCTGATTAAACCGACATACTACACGTTACCCGATCGCATTTTTTAAACTCGGCAGATTACAAAATTCAAAGATATGCACACATTTTTAGTTTGACGTTTCAATTTTGAATTTCCCCTCCAGATCCCCGGATTCCTGTTAGGCGGGGTATTGTAGAATCGTATTACGAAAGCGAGCGCGTGCGAGCGGAACGTCAAAACGTGCCATTTTCGGCTTTATGTTGGTCGCTTCATCGAATATAGGATCACGCCGAATACCATTGTCCTTTTTTACGCGTGAAAATAAACATTTTCGAAAGGATTCAAAATTTCTATATTCTATAGTACAAACGGTACCGGACTATACCCTTATTCGTTATAACAATCGAGTAGGTTTCGGTGTTTACCGACAGATTGCGATGATTACCGATAGATTCCGATGTTTACTGACAGATTGTGCAATTATTCTTTCACGTTTAGCAGTTCATCAGCTTAAATACGATAAATATGATTGAAAGACGTTATTAATGCCAAAGATCAATTCCTGAAGAGAGCAGAAATCCACAACATAGCAAGACTTTGTACTTATAACAGTGTGTGTATTGTGTAGTGATACCCGGTGCCGAGTGTTTACACTTTTTCGGTTCAGACGAAGTGCCTCAGTGTATATCTATCGTGATAACGTATTTCATCTTTTAAGAAGATCGTGAGGTATCCTTATAATCGTCAGCAGATTTAAATAAGGTAAAAATAATTTTTATTCCTGTCAAATCATAAAACATTTACACTGAAGATAGAAGGTGCTATCCTTAGACGAACACGGTTGAGATATGTCAAGTGTCAAGCGCCATTTTTGTAAGTGCGGTAGCTAGACATGCGACGTTGCCGGATCCTCACATAAATCGGAGTTTGTCATACAATTTTATAGAGGGCATTAATGCTATAGCGAAGATTTTATAATGCCATTGTGTGTTATTTATGGTGACACATGCGACGTTGCCGGATCCTCACATAAATCTGAGTTTGTCATACAATTTTATAGAGGGCATTAATGCTATATCGACGATTTTATAATGCCATTGTGTGTTATTTATGGTGACACATGCGACGTTGAAAAATGAATAATGAAAAATGAATGAAAAATGCAAAATGAAAAATGAAAAATGAAATATGAAGAATGAAAAATGAAAAATAAAATATGAAAAACGAAAAACAAAAAACGAAAAACGGAAAACGGAAATCGTCAGCAGATTTAAATAAGGTGAAAAAAAAATCAAAAAATCAAAAAATCAAAAAATCAAAAATCAAAAATCAAAATCAAAATCAAAAAATCAAAAACAAAAAATCAAAAATCAAAAAATCAAAAAATCAAAAATCAAAAAATCAAAAAATCAAAAAATCAAAAAATC